GGTGTGGTGGAAGACTAAACCTTACTGTCACCTCAGAGTTCATTCGTAAACGAATGCTATTAGGCTGCTCCTAGCAGGTAACAGAGACCTGAGATCTACGATCGGTCTAGCTGTACCCACGCGCACGTGGAATAAGACTGTATGACGAAGCGCAGTATTCAGACTAATGACGCTTTGGATACGCTAAGCGGTGAAGAAGTCGTGGATAAGGTCGATAACAAGACAGATTGTTTTCCCACTGTCTGAAGCAAGCGGCTTTGATGAAACTCTATTGAGCCCAATGCGCCGTGGCACGGTATCCCTCCGGTAGGACAGCTAATCGTAGTCATGCATCTCGGACGGTCATCAGATGAGGGTTCATTAGTTGCTCGTTGCGGTCGATCACCAATGGTTTACTGGATATAGTGATTGATTCGAGCCACTCACAATCAGAGGAAGAGATAGTACTGACCCAGGAGTTGCTTCATATAGCTCTATAATCGTACGTCCACCATCCCTTGTCTTACAAGCCGTTCAAGCTGTAGCGGTCAGATCCGGCCTAATCCCAATCAGTTCGACGAAGCTGTCTCGTGCGTTATACTCTAGTCAGGTAATTAGAGTAAAAAAGAAAGAAGGAGATCAAGGAACCCTAAAATGCGGGTAGAAAGCATTCTATGCGTTTCAATCTATTCGTGTGCAACTTCGAGAGGGCGCCGTTCGGGTAGGCACCGTTGGTGCCTCGAGCAGCAGAGGAAACAGGTGTAAAGACGGCAAGCGTCCTTATACTATCGGCGAGTATCATGGGGTATGCCGCGGAGGAAACGACGCGTGATATGCCCGGAGAGAGGGAAGTTAATGGCGATAGTGAGGTTAGAATGATGCGACCAGTTCTGCGAATAGTAAAGCACTGGTACGGCTAGCGCTATTGCTGGTTCAATCGACCCCTTTACCTTTGGTTGCTGGACCGATTTCGGTTCTTCGTAGGTCGCGATGAATGGACAAGACGGGAGGACGGATATACATTGTTTCAACTGCTGAACGGGGACACACCAACGATTAGCTTGTTTGAACCCACCTCTTTGTCGTTCGGTGTGCCGTAACTATGGACCGTTTGATGTAATTGTTCATTACTGCCCACGCTATCGTTATAACTATATGGTTGGTCTGGCACATGTGAGAGCGACGGAGGAAAGTGCAGGACGGGATTACCTTAAGGAGCCTCTGGACTTCCAGGCTGCCGGCTGCCCTAGTAATAAGGATAGAATCAACGTTCGGGGGTTGTAAACTTTTCAACCGTCACACAAGAGGTGGCTGGATATACGCGCTCCGGCGAGAATCCCTCGTCTCATTCAGTGACAGATCTTTGAATTCTTATATAGAAGGTAGCTGGAATCTCTGGACCACAGGAACGAGCTATAATGGTAAAAATTAATATGGTTGGCGTGACGATTCATGCACTTGGTTCTTGTTCTCTCAACGGGAGTAAAAGTATTTAACATAATTTTAAATTAGATTCGAAGATAATTTTTGTAAATTAACTCTGTTATAGAGATCGCTAGCAATCTGCTCATGAGTTCTGACCTCATGACTATCAGACTAGACGTAAGTTTTCAGTTTAAGTCAGTTGAAGACTTAATTATTAAGTTTAAACTGTGTTTTACGTTAGTTGCTAGTTGCCGGTTGAGATGGGGTAAGAAAGACTTAGGCTGGTCATTGAGGTGCGAGCATTAGCCTTGGGATGGGATCTGATGAAAGCAAGTAGTTAGCCTGTTTTCTATCCGCCACTCTCCCTCTTCCTTCTACTCTTGATTAGGTGTAGTGGTCATGTTGAGTGTATAGTAAGAGTACGTCTAATACTGCGCCTTTATTTCAACTACCGTTAATTGTAGAAGGGAGCGGCTGAGAAGGCCCGAAGATGAAGGCCACAAGAGAGAGAAAAAGAGAAAGAGAAAGTTTGGTATAAGTAGGTTTAGGCAGACGTGCGACGTGACTGATAAGGTTTTAATAGTAGGGTATTTATTTGCCGGTTACCTTGCGTAGTTTCTTTTTATTAATACTATTTTATTTGTGACGCGTTAATAAGTTAAGTTTTAATTAGAGAGGTAATCATCCTCCAGCTACCTCATGTAATTCTTTTATTGCTTTAGTTTTAAGAAAGATTATACAGGTCGATAAAATTTCAAGAATGGAAAAACCCAGAGACGCGACAACATATTTACGAAGTACTCTGACGAGCTGAATCCGAATGTGTCCTCCGAATTGTTTCTTTATCTAAGATTCTCGAGATATCCTAACATAAAAGGGCCAAAAAAACAATTTTTAGCTATATTCCAGGTTACGTAACGTCGCGAATAAATTTTTTTTAACCGGATCAAACCATCTTAGAGAAGTATTCTTGTCCTAGAAACCCGAATCCCATTTTTCGATTATGAATATCTCTTTTCTTCATGGTGTTATCATTGATTAAAATTAAGCATTTCATTCATTTCCGAATAACATTAAAACACAGCCTATTTTCCAAATTCGCATATGTAGCAATGCAGAATTACATCTTCAGACCCTTATATTCTAATTTTCGTAACCATTGAGCACTGTCACCTGTAGTGCTATAACTCTATACCCTTACATCAAAAATTTCTTAGCCCCTGTGCCTTGTAACCTACGACCATATAACCCTCAACTCTTAAACTCCAAAGTCCTTAATCCCAGGGTTCTGTAACCTGCAAGGCTATAACACCAAATTCTCATACTTTAATTTTTTAAGTTCCCGAGTCCTATAACGTGCGACCATATAATCCTTGAATCGTAAACCTCAAATTTCTTAACCCTCAAGCCCTATAACCCTTGACGCTGTAACCCCCGACTCTTATACCCCTAATTCCATAACCCTTGAGACTTGTAACCTGCGATACTATAACCCCGGCCTTTCTTTTCTATGCAGAAATATACTATTAAGTTTTTCTGTATTTTTATAAATTACTCTGCTTCGAACAAATGATTTTGCTTGTTTAATGAAAACGTTTTCTTTTTCCATCGAACGACCGTTTCTTGTCAAATGCTTTTGTAATGAATTAATGTCATATCTTTAAAGGCACCAGCAATAGTCAGCCATCGTTCCTCATATTACCTACCTTATTAATGACGTTCGTTTTTCCGTAAAATCCTGATGAAAATGTTCATTCATTTCTTCACTGAATGTTTCAACATTCTCAGGAATGTAATTCAGATGAGAATGCATGAGATGCACCTTGAAACTCATGGAACAGACTAATTTCTGGAAATTTTGCATTCAATTTAAATGTCGAATCAAATCATCGAGATCATTCTGATTGAAAAGGTTTACATCTATCTGATAAATAACACAGACCGACAAAATTTGATGAAATTCCAGACCCAGAGACTAGACAAGCTGTATCCAAAGAAATTTAATGCGCTGAATCCAAATCAGGCCTCAGAATTGCTCCATCGCCCAAAGTTCCAGAGATATCCTAACCTCAAAGTGCAAAAAACATTGTTTTTTTACGGATTTTGAGATTGCATAGCATCTTGAATAAATTTTTTTTCCAAAAACGGGCCACAGCATCGTAAAGAAGCACTCTTACCCTCTGAAATCCATTTTTTAAATTTGAAATAGCATTTTTTCTCATCGAGATATCATTGATTGAAGTTAAGTATTTTCGTAGTTTCGAAACAACGTTAAAGCAACCTATATGTGGCGGTCATGCCAAGCTTACGTCAGCAGGCACGAGATGGCAGCACTCCTCAGTCATCGCTGAGATGACTGTGTAAGCAAACGCTCGTTCCTTGCAGCGAGTTCGCATAGCAGCAGTCAGTCTCTCACCAGCCCTCGAGGTAGTTGGTGACGCTTTTGCCAGCTCCTCATGGCAACTGCTTAGTTGCTCTAGCGCCAACGAGAACCACTCGTCAGACTATACTTGAATTCCCACAGCTCTGGGGGAGCAAGCACAAGTGTAAATAAGGTTACATACAGTTAATTGTAATCTAGTTAATAAACTTCAGTTAAAACTCTACAGTCTAGTTCATTTCCCTAGCGTGCGAAGCAGTCTTTAACATATATAGTATATTATTGAATTCGCCATTTTGAAGTTTTACAATCTGACCTTATATTCGTAATCAGCCTCCCTGAAAATTCATGTTCACATTTTTTTCGGTCGAATGTGATCACTTATAAATTTTTAGATTCACCATATTGAAACCGCCATTTTAACTTTTCAAAATCTGACCTCATATTCTTAATCAGCAACCTCAAAAACCCATATATCGAAAACGAATACTTTTAAATTGGGCTTATAGGCTCACATATGAAATATAGACTGTTTTAACGTTGTTACGAAACTACGAAAATACTTAACTTCAATCAATGATATCTCGATGAGAAAAAAAGCTATCTCAAATTTGAAAAATGGATTCCAGAAAGCATGAGTGATCATTTATGATGCTGTCGCCCATTTTTGGAAAAAAAAATTTATTCAAGATGCTATGTGACCTCAAAACCCGCAAAAAACAGTGTTTTTTGCACATTTCGGTTAGGATATCTCGGGAACCTAGGGTGATAGAATAATTCTGAGGCCAGATTTGGATTCAGCGTATCAAATTCCTTTGGGTACAGTATGTCTGGTCTCTGGGTCTGAAAATTGTTGGCTGTGTAATCATTCTTTTGGTATAGCTTTCTACTGTTTCAATTTTTTTGGAGACTTCTGGCTGAAGAACTACATTTTCGTTTCGCCCAATTTTTTCGTAACGTGCCAGTGTTATACTAGCCATACTAGGATATATAATTGAACCTCTAGTACTATGGTTAAAACCAATAATATTACATTTATAAAAGTAACAGTCATATATGTGATTCGCAGACTCTCTTCAAACTATCGGTTAAGTAACAACATTAGATAAAATGGAATTCCATTTTCTTAATGTTCACCTATAGTCCTCATAAAGAGAATTAAGAACCCACGATTGGCCTTCATTTTTTAAAGATATATTATAGCATTTATTAATACCTTTTTTAATGATATTATTTATTTCCTTACGGTATTGGTCAAATCAACCGCAAATATAACAGAAGTAGATTGCTTTATCTTTGCAAGGAATTCTCGACATTTTTAATACTTTTCCGTTAATCCGCCGTTCAAACACGATCTGTAACATAGATATTAAAATATCTACAAGTTTATTTAGTCGTACAACTAGGATTACAAAAGCACTATTTCGAAAAAAATTTGATTAATACGCAACTGGATATACAATATAATTTGTATTTAATTCAACTACTGCACATTGTTTTGATGAAAACAATAAAACATACATTCGTAAAAATATATACTTGGGTTCGAATTTTCGGAAATGCTGATCATAAAAATAAAGTCAAATTTTAAAAATTTAAAATGGTGAATCCAATATGTTGAACCAACAAATTCATAACTAACCGGATACGATCTAAAAAATGTATACATGAGTTTTTGGAGTTGCAGACCACAAATACAACGGCAGATATAAAAAATAAGGAAATTGTGGTTTAAGGATTGAGAATTGTAAACTTGAAGGGTTAAAGGATTAGAAGTTGTATGGTTACAGGTTACAGGGCTTAATATTTACAAAAATTGGGGTATACGGGTCTCAGGATAAAATTTTGCATTGCCATGTAAGCGTATTTAGAAAATACAAAACCACCTACGTGAACTTATCAGTAAATTTCTGAAGACAACTATTATAAACATTAAATTCAAATAATACTATCTAATGAATGTATAAATAAATCCTAATCTATTTCTCATATTCTAAAACAAAGACATAATATTCATTGCTGTATTTCTTCTATTTTTGATTACACATTTTATATAGCAATAAAATTTACTTATTTATTTAAAATATAAGACAGATTATAAATATATTTATTGCAATAAGAATAAAAACCACCAAATTTTCATTTTTATCGTAATTAAAGGCAAAAAAATGGACTTCAGACAGCCATCTTGGATTCATTATCTTCAGAAATTAGAAAGATGATAATGCTTTTAAAAGTAGAAGTGGAGAGGAAAATATTCAATTCCTATATATCCACTTCCATTGAAATCACTCATGTTCGACTTTTTGGCGTTCTGTGGGGGTCTGTCAATATATATATATATATATATATATATATATATATATATATATATATATATACAATATATATATATTGTAACGTGGTTGATTAGCTAGTAAAAACGGGGTTTATTGAAGTACAAACTCCCACGATGCAGAGCTAATCGCCGCTCCGTTAAACACGTATGAGTATACGTGTATTCGCCTTTACATTTGATACTTTCGTTCCAGTGTCTTCTTTCCAATAGAGTTGAACTCACCTTAAGTCACTTGATTTGCGACATTCGATCTACCTTAGATATGAGTGACGTAATGTTTATTCCAACTAATCCCCTAGATAAAATCGGTTTAAAATTTAACCGGTGATAGATCCGTTAAACTAACAGGAAACGAAATAACCTAATGCGACGAATAAAATTAATATCGTTTATGACCAGAAAATTACAGTCTTTGATGGAGGAAAGACTAACGCACGCGAATAGGATTTACAATGATAAACAATAATATGGGAGAGAGAGAGAGAATTCAAAACTCTGTCGGGAAATCTAACGCTCGGCGCGAATACAAAAATAATCTTGTGAATATTTTGTCGCGCACAAAAAGGTAGGTGCACCTACCCTGAAATGCAATTATGGTGATCAGCTGTAATTGTTTTTTCAACGAAATTAAAGGTGCTTCTGCGGGAACAGCGGCGCTGCCTCACTCGAAATATCTGCTGCTTTAGTTGCTGCTGTTGTGATACTGCTGCTTTTGATCAGCTTCCTTGCTATCACTCGCACACGTATACAAAATCCCAGGAAAACTTTTTGTGCAAAAACGGTGAAACACCGGGCAAAACTAATTGGCGGTACATTCGTAAGTACGAGTAACAGCTGAGGCTTAACTGAAACTTTGAACTCTCGCGCGCCCCCTCTCTCTCTTAATCGTTCGCTCTAGCATCGCGAGTGCTACCGAATCGCGAACAGATCGATTGATCGAATCGACTACCGTTGCAATATATATATATATATTGCAACGGTAGTCGATATATAGACAATATATATATTGCAAATATAAATATATATATATATATATATATATATATTGTAACGCCGCAGCTACCGCAGCCTCTCTCGCGGTATCACCGGAGTCGGAGCCTGTCGAGGCGCTCCGGACTTCCTCCGCAAGCAGGGTACGGTTGCCCTGGTCCTCGCTCAAGACCGGCCCAAGCCCAGGAGGAGAGTGCTTCACTTTCCCCTGGACCGTTGAGCTGAGCAAGGACACGTCACCCGCTCCTGTGCAAGCGAAAAGGGGATTCCGGGCCAGAGTATCCTCAAACCGTGCGCGCAAACTCTGGTCCGGCACTACATCGCGCGCTTCGCTAGAGGAGGGATCGGGGATGCGCCCCGACATAAAGTCAGAGGGGAGAAGGGGCACCTCAGCTCCGGATCGCGTATTCGCCAGGAACACGCGGAAGACGCGGTCCTGAAGTACCAGGAGTCCACCCTCTGTAGTCAGCCCCTGAGTCCGCATATACCTCACCAGTTCCTCCCGCGGAACCCTGGTGATGCTGGCCCTCAGGTGCTGTAACTCCGGTTGCCGGGATAAACGACGCATGAATAAATTCGCGTCAGCTGCGGGGGACGGCATCTCAAAGGGACCGAGCGACAGACGCAACGCGATCGCTGCCCGGCGATCCTAAAAAAACGAAAACGAAAGAAAAAAAAAACAACCACAATCGCAACACGCGTCGTTAAGCACTTGTCACCGCTACCGATTCGCGATCATCCTACTCGCGCACGCGTCGCGCCTTCCCCACAAGGGATGCCATGGAACGGAATTATTTAAGCCGACTATTCGTTAGAATACCTGCTCACGGCCGTCCGCACAATATTTATCAAAAGGAGGGCTCGGGAGGCACGAATGCTCCCACGACTGAATGGCACACCGAGCGTGTGTGCCAATCGCGCACGAATCAAAGGAAAGTCGGAAAGCGAACGGGTTGACGCAGTGACATATGACACAAATATATATATTACAAATTTATTATTACAAACACAATAAAAGAAAATAAAAGAAAGACACACAAATTAATAACTAGACGGAGCACGCACACTCCGTCTCGCAAATCGGCCTAATACAAAAATCGCTAATCCGCTTAATCGGATTATCGGCAATCACTGCCCGATAATCCGCTCAAGCCTAAGCGCCCGCGAACGCACTCGCGACCTCAACACCCGGCAACGGGGGCCGGCATCGCTGCCCGACCTGCACCGTTGCACCCGCGAGCACCACTGAACATGCAAGAGAGCGAGAGAAGGAGAGAGAGAGAGAGAAAACCGGCACCGACCTTCCCAATGACGACCTCGGGCGAAGATGGCTGCTCTCGGCCAACGGCTGCGGCTTGCTGCTGCTGCTGATATTGTTGCTGTTGTTGTTGCTGCTGCAGCTGTCCGCCGCTAACCCCCTGTTGTTGCTGTTGTTGCTGCTGGTGCTGCTGCTCAGCTGCTCGCCGGATTCGCTCGCCGAACGCGCGTGCGCCGGCGGTACGGGCTTCGCTCTTACCCGCGCACACCGGTGCTGGGCGGCAAGGCTTGGCTGGGCGCGACCCAGCCACTCACTCCACACTCACACCAAATGGAACCACCGATGCGCGCCCATACACCGGGTGCGCATCCACAAATAAACGACGTGGCGAAGCACCGCACCGCTTCCAAAAAAAAACAACGGAAAAAAAAACCGGAAATCGACGACGACAAAATAAACGCGCACACGCGATCGGCCAGCCCAAACGATACTACCGATTTCCCCCCCTCGGCCGCGCTCTCCCCATTCCACTCGCCCCCACGCATAACGATCCTGGCAACGGATCGTCGCCTCGTCAACCGCCTCCAGCTCCGCCAATGCCCGTTCGCCGCACCTCAAACAGAGAAAATGTAAGCATGAGAGTGTATACAAATACACCCTCAGCCCGGGCGCAACGAACGGACGAGAGAGAGACAAAGGAGAAGCCGGCAAGCCGAAATTCTCCGTCACAGCCCCCCCGTAGCAACCGATCCTGTACCAGGATCGGGAGCTATCCCCCGCTCTCATCGTCCGTGCGTCACACCCGGGCTGGGTCCCGAGTGCAAACTCGGCCGGACGGCAATTCTGCCCGGGGAGCCTCGCATCTCGCTGACCACGAGCGAACAGGAATGGTGGGTCTTCACTACCTATAACGGGACAACAAAAGAAACTACAAATACAGGGGATCACACGACATCCCCTAACGATACTCCCGAAAACGAAACATGCGTCATTGCGGGGTTCAGAGCGCCACTTACTTTGGGTCTCGCGTGGCCTCACCTACTGGCCACCCTCGCGGGCAGGAGGCTGCGATATTAGGCCAGCCTCCTCCACAAGGCGCAGGCGATCCTCTCGGGACAGCCCTGCAAGATAGGCCAGGGCCCTCACACGAGAGGACGGCCTCGGCGCCGACGGCACGGGTGACACCGATGGTGGTGATGGCGTCACCGACGCCACAGGTGGTAGTGGCGTCTCCGGCGCCATAGATGTTGATGGCGCCGCTTGTGCCGTCGGGAGCATTGGCGGCTCCATGGTTGGCGAGCCCCGCTCGGCCCTAGCCCGGATCTCAGCCTGAAGCCGGCGTCGAGCCCGACGCTTAGCCGCCACTGAGGTGGGCGATGGCGTGCCCTGCTTGGCGACAGCGGCTCCGGACCCGGGCCGAGGCAGCTGACACCGGCTTGCCAGCGCGCCATCGGCGGTCTGATGGTTGACCGCGGTGCGCGCTGGAGAGACCCGCTTGGCCTCAACCCCCTTCCTCGCGCGCCGCCCCCCCGCTCGGGTCACAGGGCGAAAATGGCCGTCATCGCAAAGGCGGTAGACGATGCCATCGTCACCCACGACCCGACGCGAAGACGACACCGAGGCGGGGACGGACAAACCCGTCTCCAGGGTGGGTGAAGGTGTCGCGGTTGTCGCGGCTTCCGGCACCAGACCAACCCGAGCCTCGGATGGAGGCGTCGACGGGACCTCCTCCACCAGTCCCGCGGGTGGAGACGAATCCGAGTTTCCCA